GTGTGTGTGTGTGTGTGTGTGTGTGTGTGTGTGTGTGTGTGTGTGTGTGTAATTGCAAGCTCGTGAAGATTTACTGTTGGGAAATCATTCTTGAAATGAAAGGCAATGTCGCGAGTGATGAAATTCTTTCGTGGAAGGTGCAAGACATCGCTGATTCTTCATCTATTGGCCCCTTTTGGTCACATTTAAAAGATGAAATGTGCACTGAATCAATGGGAGTGAATAGAAGATCAGATGTGTAGGTCAACCTCCAGATAAACGGAGGGCAGCCTGCATTTAATCAACCGTTACTGAATGTGGGCGAAGCGGGAACAAAAAGAGCAGAGACTAAAGACCTTACAAAAAAAAGCACCTCTAATTCTCCTACACAATAGCTGAATCATCACACAAATACACCAAAGCAAAGAGCACCAAATTGCTCTAAAATTCCAAAATGGGACTAGAAATTGAGGCTGGAACAGAGTGGCAGAGCTGCAGTATTTCCTGCGTGGTGCCTGCTCTCTAATCACAGTGACAGGAAGGTGATGAGAACAGCAGGGACACTTCACAGGAAATGACTTCCTCAGTGTCACCCAGAAATCTGCAGTCAACCGATTCTGGTAAACCTCCAACTCTCAGAATCTGGATGAAATTCCACAGCCTCGTTTAGCATCCCTAACATGTTAGAATACGTGGAAGTATTGCATTGAAATAAGACTTTGAAGCTCAGGCTACAGCTGCAGAATGACTCACAAACGGTTCAGCCACACAACAGTTTATCAGTGCAATTAAAGCAGCCTGAGTGCTTGCAGGTTATACTTAATTTGTTAATATTTGTCACATTTTTTATATTTTTTTTCTCTTCACTACACTAATTATCCTGAACAAGCGGACTGGAGCACAAATGGTGAAAAGATATGGTTTTATTACTGAAGGGCAGAACAGCGTTGGATTTCTTCATCCTGTGACAAATGGGCTGACACACAAACACGCACAGACACAAATTAACACAGCTTATCTACTTCAAGTAAAAATGCAGTGAATTTCATAAGCAATGAGATGCTCTCCTGTGCCATTCAGTGCATGTAGTGGTTTTGCTGCCTCAGCTGTGAGTTGTATTTGATGCTTGGGCTCCAAACGGAGGGGCCGTTCTCTCTAGTCCAATGAGAGCTGGAGATTAGAGAACACTGAGCTTGATGCCAGTTCATTAAATCACTCTTAATGATTCTTTCTAACCCAGAGCCCACGGGCCAGACGCCATGATCCTGGTCGACGGCCAGCCGCTGCAGTCCAACGGGGAGCTGGGCCTTTCCCAGATGCTGCACATCGCCACTCAGATTGCCTCAGGCATGGTGTACCTGGCCTCGCAGCACTTTGTGCACAGAGATCTGGCAACCCGCAACTGCCTGGTGGGCAACGGCCTTCTGGTTAAGATTGGAGACTTCGGCATGTCCAGGGACATCTACAGCAGCGACTACTACAGGGTAGGCCACGGCTACTGCTGTTCTGCTTGTCGTTTCCTGTTAAAATACGTTTTTTTTCTGCCAAAGAATGGAATTCAGCTAAACCACTTSAACTTTTTTTTAACTCCTCAATTATTTCTGCCATGGCACCATGCCTCCACACTGTGTGTAAAGATAAAACCTGTCAGTTTCACTGTCCTTCAGCTGCCAACGTGCCGTACATTTTAAATCCGGGGAATTGCTAATCTCACAAAGTAAATTTAGTTCACACTGCTTTCTCTAATTAGGCTCAAAACAAGTCGAAAATGAGGCCTCTGGGGCTGCCAAGTAAAAATAAAATGACTCTAATATGTGTAAGTTGTTACTCTCCTGTGTTATTTTGTTTATGTTTATGTCTCTATTTTTCTTCTTCTGGGAAGGGTTTTCAGCTCCCCCCCATCAGCAGCGCAGCCTCAGGCCCTCACACCACACCTCATGCATTTGGTGCGGGATGAAGCGTTTTAGCTGCGCGCTGCGGGACAAGCCTGCTGAACCTGCAGCCTGATGCTTACAGGCTTGTTTATATTGCTTCTGAATCGTGCCTCCTCTACTGTTTAACATGATTAGCGACTATGTATGCCGCAAACCAGGAGGCAAATGTTTTGTTCGAAAATTTAAGGAAGATGAATGTTTTATGGATTCTCCACACATCATATCGGTGTGACTGATACTTTACTGGATAAATCAGGATATTTGTTTAATATAAGATATTATTTGTGAAAGAATCACAACATTTTGTGTTTCATGTTTAATGCAAATTGGAGATTCAGTTTCTCAGCAAATAAGAGGGTGCCAATAGGTGCCACAGTATATCATGAGTTCTGTGTACACTTTCACTGATGAGAGCAACATAAAAGTAAAGCCAACATAAATATCCAGATTTATATTCTACATATAGGTTCAAAGACTGTGTATGAAATCAGTTTCACAGCAGAATCTAATTCTAACTCAAACAATTTCTTGCACTCTGTGACTTCACTTAATGACATATTCATTTGCCTGCCACACATCTGAAATGTAATATTCAAAGCCTGTAATGGGTTTAGCGTCAGGCTCTTTGTGCAGCAGGATAATTGGATGTTCGGACAACGGCAGCCCTATCCAGGTCAATTTATTGGCAACCATGGCGAATGTTAAGCTATCGGTCTTGCGTGACAGTTGTGCCAATTTTTTCAGCAATGCAAAAAATAAATAAATAAAAAGCAGACAAGGTTTTTATTTGTGCCGCTTCTTACCTCTGTGTTTGAATTAAACTTCTAAATAGATTTTTTAATATACTATATATTTCTGATTACACACAATAAAAAAACTACAAAGGTTTTCTTGACATTTAAGTATTTTCTCTTCAAAATATGTAGGTGAATTATTTTTTTTCTTCTGCTTTATTTCAAAACAACTGTTTTATTACTAAAACTTGTAGAACAGATACTAGGCAATAAAAAAAGTAAGCAACTATCCTTTATCACTGATAATGAAAAGTTATATATTAGTCAATATAATGGGTGTATTCTTGAAAAAAATCCCATGTTGCTTAACTCTCAGCTGCTCCAAAGGAGCTGCTCAGTGAGAATTAGTGGTATACTGTGGGTGCAGTGTGTTGTAAAGAGTGTGTTTCCTTGTTTTGGCTGCAGGAATGTTTAACTAATTGTCTCAGTCACAAGTGATTTAGCAGGCAGATAGCATTCAGATGGAAGACTGGTTGAGTTGGCTGTTCTCGTCTCAACAATTACAAGCCTAATACACTGTACACAGGAGCTGTGAGTAAACAGAGAGGGTTTAAACTGATATAAAACTTAACAGAGCAACAAAAGATCTGTGTGTTGCGTAATTGCTGGAAATACGGTATATTAATTAGAGAGTGTGGGTCTGGCATAAAATACGTGTTCAATTATTTTTTCTCCTCTTTCTTTTCTTTTTCACTCCTCAGTTCAGTTTCATTCAGAAACAGGAAGCCAATGAAGGATAGTGCCCTTGACACCTAAGACTCCTGCTGGGTGGTTAAAGCTGTCTGTGCACAGGGGGGTGGACCTGGGTGGTGGAAGGGGGGTGGTGACAAGGTTGTCCTCCTCATATGATCGTCACTGACGGATGAAAGGAAAGCAGCAGGATACTTAATGTGTATCTGGACTCACTCCAGGAGACCAGTAAATCAGACTTCATTGTTTCTGCTGGGATTATAAAAGGGGTGCAGAATGCTTTAAACAAAACAAWACAATAAAACTGTTTGTGTACAGTTTTATTATTCTATTTTATTTGGGGTAGTTTTTGTTGCTGTTTTTGTTGTTGAAACGGCAGCCTATTTCTGGTTCTTTTAAATTTCTGATAGATTTCACCTCAAAAAGCACGACAGATCCTCCGGTTTTGGTCATAAAAATATCATCCTTATTGTCTCGCATAAAACAAACATGTTTTTGTACCTGGAACATCAAAAAGTAAAGCAATCCTTGCATCAACACTGCAGTAGAAAGTAGTTGGTGGTGCCTTTTACAAGCCGTGTTTCCATCAACATTTTTAATGCACATCTTGAAGTATTGCATCAGAAAAGGTGAATGGAAATGGCATGATTCGAAAAACTTCCTCTAATTCGCATAAAAGTCGATATGCTCGCTTGAGGTGTTTTTTTTTGTTTGTTTTTTTGTTTGTTTTTTTTTTTTCAAAAAGGAGTTAACGCGCAAAAGGAGAGATGGAAACACATTTGTTGAATATGATCAGATGTAGCGAACATTTACCTCATATGGGTTGATCAGCTGTTCTCGCTGTCTGTCCGAAACCGGTACCGGTACCAGAGTGACTGCAGCTGGACCCTCCTCCCGCTGT